CGCCACTTGCTCCAAGAGCTCCATGATACCAGGGGTCTGCAGCAGCGCCGCTATGGCTCTCTGATCTTGCTCTTGCTTCTTCTCCGCCGCCGGTGGGGCACTCGCTTCCCCCATTGGTTCATCTTCCTCTACGGGTGGCGGAGTGGCTGTGGAGGGTCCAGCCGTGTCCTCCCGGACTTTTTCACCTCCTTGCCCATCCCGGGCTTTAACCTCACCAACCGAAGTCGGTGTCCCCTCCCGGGGTGTGTCAACCTCTCCCGACGTGTCGGGGGTGCCCTTGCGGGCAGAATTGTCTGATTCCTCGGCCTCCATGGTGGAGGCCGGGGAGGGAGCCCGTTGCTCCGCGCTTGCGCGTCCGCCCAGGCGGAAGCGTGGTAGCCACCCTCAGGTGGCTCCGAAACCAAATGATACAAAAAGTCTGTGGGTGTGGGGCGCCTGCCCTCTTTGAGCCGCGGACCCGCCTCGCCAGGCACCTAGGTCCTTACGGGGACCTAGGCGGGACCACCCCTCCTACTCCCATATCCTTATAAGTATAAGGGTTACCGTAGGACAAGGAATACAATACGATCTTGGGTAGGGCGTCCCCCACACCAAGGACCAATAGTAGGGCGTCCCCCACATCAGGCCGGTGCGCGTAACACGAACTTCTTGGTTGTTCCATACCCCCTGGCTGCAATGGGGTTCATTGTCCCTTGCACTTCCAAGAACAGGGTGAACTGACACCAAGAACGTGTTCAGAATGCATAACGAGGTAAAAACACAAAGACTGCAACCAAAATTTTCAGTGATGATTTTTAATTTGCAAAATTGTCCCCTGCATCCCATCCAGAATTGGTGGCTACACGCACGCAGCTAGGCTATGCGACGAAACCGCTGCCACTGTTTTCAGCCCCTGGGGAGCTGTTGTGCGCCCCTGGAGGCGTAATGCAACCTTGGGTCCTGTCTCCTGACAAGGACGGCTCACGTCGCATGCTCCGTGGCCTCTGGCAGCGAGTGGCGGCAGACGCCTTGGCGGGGCATGAAATTTGTCGCCCTGTCTTCCGTGAAGACCCCTTCTTGTTTCGGACACCCTAAACCACTGACCCGCAACACTGACCCACTGACCAGCATTGACCTTGTCAACGGGAGAAGATGGGTTCCTCACAGATAAGACAGGGGGGCTAATATATTCTCCTTTTGCGGAGGCGTGGGGAGTACAACGCACTTCGTTTCCTTTTGCTTCGCCCGCCATTTGACACATGTCTTGTTCTTGTGGAAGCTTTTGTGGACGTTTCTCAATATTCATCATTTTTCTCATTTTTTGTGACCGAATTGTCATCATCATCATCATCATTTACAGAACAAGGCAATGAGGTAGCCGTCAGCTTCCTATTTCACATGAGCAAAGCATGAGCAAAGGGTCGGTGATTGGTTCTTTGAAATCTAATGATAAATACAAACTAAATCTATGATTCTATAGACTCTCGATGCCTAGAAGCGATAATCGATGGTAATACATCAAACGAAGTGTCTTCGCAAGCTGGCGAGCTGGAACTGAAGCAAAAAGGACTTTCGCATTGTGATATTAAAAAAATACAAGAGTGGCTTCGATGGATGTTGTCGTAGGCTTTGCAGTGAAAGAGAAAATATATCTCGTCTTCAGGAGCCAAGTGGCATAAAGAACACAATCGCCTTGAAAATTCTGGAATGGATTGTCTCGCTTGGTGTCGTTCTTTCTCGACTTCCAGAAAATGCACTCCCCAACGAAATCGCAGGAAGAATGTCCTCAAGGAGATAGGTTGTAACGTTGATAGGAATCGTTCATATCGGTAGACAGGCTTGATGTGCTTGTACCATCTCTGAATCCTTGAAGAATGGCTGGTGAAGACATTTGCAATGTGGACGTGTTTGTAGATCCGTTGAAAAGACCGAATTGTCAACTCACCCTTACGCGTCACTGCACCTGATATGAATGTCCATCGGCTGTGGGAGGACGACAAGCACCAATTTGTTGGGTGATGAACATGGCGAGAAGGTTTGAAGTTTTCAGTGCGTTACCAACGTCCATCGACGGGACGCCGCAGAGTTGCATAGCCGACAAAAGAAATGAATGTAGTTTGAGACCGTGCCGAAGCGGTGGTCTGGCCAACACTGACGTCGCCGGCAACGAATTCAGTCAAAACTCAAGCAACATTGAGAACACGCCAAAAACACACCCGGAAACACCCTTAAAACCAAGGCAGAAAGCACACCGGAAACTGAGAAAAAAAAACAGTGTGCAACAAGAGGGTGAAACTAAATTAAACACGCCAAAAATCAAACAAGAGTGCAATGGTATGGTGGGACTGGGGCAGGCTGGCTCTCTGCGTCTCTGGCCCACCCATCCCGCCGTCCTCCCCGTCGTCGTCAGCCGCGCCCGTGCGGCCTTCCCGCAGGATCTCGGGCTAGCCGGCGCTGCGGCTTAGGGCCGATGGCATCCCGCGGCCTCGCCCAAGCGCCAGGCCCCGCCGCACCTCGCCCGGCGACAAACCGCAGCGGGCCGGCGCAGGCGGGATGCCGCACATCGGCTCGGCAAGCCGGCGGCGTGCGACCACACAGGAGGACTGCCGATCCTCAGGTGGGGATGATTGCCCACGGACGGCTCCGCTTGCTGCTGTGATTGCTGGCGCAGCCTGGGGGCCTACAACTTGCAGTGTCCAGCTGGCGGATGAGTTCATCGCGTTGGGCTTTGGCTTCGCAGGGCGGATCCCGTGCACTTTGTGGTGGCGGGGGTGCACGCGTCTTGAAAATGTTTGTGGATTTTCCAGAGACATGTTTTTTGTGCATTCCTTGGCTGATTGCTCGGCTGCCGCCATTCAGAGGAATGGCGGAAGATTTAGGAAGATAGAAAAATAAAAAGTGTTGAAATTAAGAAATGAAAGGACGCTCTGGATTCAGCGGAACGGCGGAGTTGTGGAGAGTCAGGGATCACGCAGACTTTTGTGTGAATTGTTTCCGGCCACGTTGCCAATCACTGAGGAGGTCATTGTACACCTCTAAAGGCTGTTGATGTTCTCAGCAAGACACAGGCAATAGCAAGTGTGTCGTTCTTCTTGTTGCCGCAGAGGAATGGATGCAGTTATCCATCCATTCCAACTGCAAGAGCATTGAGCTCCCTGTGACCAGGTAGCTTTCCTGGTTGCTGTAATGGGTCAATCAATCAACTTTCTTGGCATGCCCAGGGGGGAAAGGTCACAATGCCATGTTTTGTTCCTCTTTCAACGCTATGGCCGAATGCATCAATTCTTTCTGGCTGCAACTGCATTGCACGCCTGGCAGATGGAATGTGAACATTCAAAGAGAAGCATTGGTCAGTCCATTCAAGATGAAACAAAGTCACAGGGGCTGCCACCACGAAGAGCACCAGGTGGCATCCCCCTGTCCAGTCATAATGAGTTGCTCATGTTCACACAGACTTCCTTGCTGTGTATTGCATGCAGTTCATGTTCATTTCTGTTGCAAACTTGTCTTTGCTCCCCAGAGACATGTGCATCCATTTGGGAGCACCTCAAAGAGCCCCACAGAAACGTTTGCCAGGATGCAGACAGGACCATGTGCCATGTAGCAAAAGGCCAGACAGGAATTTCCAAGGGCAGTGTGGATATGTCCGTCGTATGACATGCACCCATGTTTTGACGAGACAGCCCGTCATCCCCCACCGCACAGTCACATGCCATGGATGTTCCTGAAACAAGGTGTTGTCAAGGTTCAGCCCTGAACACTACAACATCTCCATAATGTGCTGGGGGATCTTTAATGTTGTATTGGTGTTGTAGTCCTTTTGCCGACGCCATTGCGTCTATTCAGCAGTTTGAGCTTGGGAATTAGATTGTGCCAACTACGAAGTTCTCACAACTTTCAGCAAAAGCATCATGATCTTGGCAGGAAAGCTGTGGCACCAACGGGGCACCTGAATGTTCAGTTTCTGTTTGACATGGGCAGCTATGTGCAACCAGTGCTGCGGAGGAGAGCTCGCCATCAACAAGCAATGATGATCAGGTCCTTGCAGAAGTCACGCGGCGCATAAGGGACCTGGGACGTGCTGGGCAGCTGAAGTCGGCGATGCGGGCGCTTGCAGCAATGGCTGACTCAGGGGTGCAGCCTGACACAAGGGCGGCCACTGCACTGCTGGATGCGTGTGTCAGGAACAACAAGCTATCCGTGGCAGAGTCAGTGTTTGAGGACTTGTTTGGTGAGTTTGGGGAACTGATATGTGGAAGTTCTGCACAGTGTATGTATTAAATCGTGTGCCGCACGTATGTAGTACAGTAGTTGGAGGAGAGACATGACTTCAGTAAATTGTTATTAACCATAAGGCATAGCAGACTGTGAATTTATGCGTATGTATTTCTTGATTATGATTGAATTCCTACTGTTCTTTTAAATACATGCTTGTTCACTCACAATGAGCAGAAACAGAGTTGGCCACAGATATATCATGCTGTCTTTCATCCACTGCGTTGTGGACAAGAAATGGTCAAAGGACTGAACAGGATGAGTTTATGGCTTTCTGAACATGGGAAGAGCATCAAAAGCCAGGGACCTTGAAGGAAAAATGATCCCATATAAGACAACCCTCTTTCAACTGGCACCATTGGGCAAGAATGAGAAGGGAAGGGGATCACCAGAGTGAATCTCAGGTTGCGGCTGTGCCAAGATGCAACAAACATGCACTGAGTGCATTCAGGCCACAGCTGATGTGGATTGGGCACTTCCTGGTAGCTGCCGAGTCTTGACTGCATTGACCGGCAACTGCATCTGCGACAGGGACCACAGTGTTGAAGCATTTGATAGCCGGTGTTGGATGAGGCGTTTTGGTGTGAACAAGTGCAAAGGGCTGAAAGCTGTGGAAAACCACAGACAAGTTCATCGCCACAAAAATGACTTTCCAACTTTTCTTCCAAAGGTTGTTGATGCAACTGCAGTGGTTGGATGGATGTGCAGTACCTCAGATATGGGCTTCAGATATGTTGTGGTAACTTCCAATGATGTTCACAATGCAGACTTTGAATGCAGACAATGAATTGCAGTGTCATGCTTGTAGATTGAATGGACAATGGGCTTTTTTGGGAAGAATGTGCTGTTAGATGTTGTTCTTGCTGGCACTCTTGCAGGTGAGTTTGTTGAACCGGACGACGTCACATTCTGTGTCATGATTCGTGGCTTTGGAGAATGCAACCCTCCACAGTGGGCAGCGATCAAGGGAGCGCTGTATTCGATGAAAGAAGACTTTGGCATCAGACCCACCACTCGTAAGTGTGTGCGCATGCTGCTTAAATCTGCACCAAAATTAGCGCTAAGAATTCAGTTATGGTTGGTACCATTAACATCAACCAATAGCAATATTGACTTCACAGCGAGCTGAATGTGCAGACTCTCTGCTGGAGAAGGCTGAGGGGTTACCCACAGCTGGCCGTGTTTGCCATCAAGAACTTATTCCAAAGTTTGGTTGCTGTACATTTGTCTCCTGAGGCGAATGATCCCCACTCGGACAAAATATTGCACAGCATGTTGGCTGTCGTTCTTATCTCAGACACCAGTGTTTAACTTTGGAGGCGAAAGCTGGGCTGATATGGACGGTGGGTAGGGGTGCTCCTTGCATTACACGTCCATTTTGGTGCACTGATAAATGCATTGTCTGGTGCACGACTTCGCTTGGTGTGGCTGAATGCACAACATGGGGAGTGATAGAGCACCTCAATGTCATGTGTGCCGGGATTGCCCTGGCAGCTGCTGCTTGACAGTTGATATTCCATTTTGGGGGGAAATGTGGTACAAGGCTCAGCATTTTACAGTGCTGGGTTGTACCGCTTTGCCTGAAAGACGAAAAATTCGGTCGCAATTCAGTTCGAAGTTCAGTTCCAATAAGGGGCGATGGGCGATTCGGGCACTGTTCATGTTGACCAAGGATGCACTGGTCGCTTCCACACCCGTTGGCCGTGTGGGCCTTATCTTTGAAGAAGCCGCACTAGTCCTTCCTGCGGTGGGATCTGAGCCATTTTGAAAATTTGAGTTTTAAAAATGACGCAGGCGTCTACAACACCATCCTGGAAGTCTGCACGAGGCAAGGCGACCTGGAGATGGCCGAGAGCTTCGTGGAGCGGATGCGCATGGAGCGCGTGCAGCCGGACGCCCACACGCTGAAGACTGTGCAGAACAAGCGGTCCATGCGAGCGCTGCTCAGGCGCCTGAAAGACGTTGGGCCCGATGACGTGGATGACGCTGACATCCGGCAATGAAGCGCTGGCCAGATTTGGGCGCTTCAGTTGAGTTTTCATCCGTTCTTGCAGTTTGCTCGCAATTACTCGTTCCCTTTTGCGCCGATGTGTTGCCAGACTAGCGGCATGTTTGTGGCGGGAAGGCGACAAGAAGTGATGCGGACGTAGCGGGATCGCTGCTAAAGCTGATGGCTGAGCTTTCGAGAAGAGATTGTTGTGTTTTTTGAGTATGAGTATTTTTGCGTTTTGCACTTAAGCTGCAGTGCTTTGGGGCGCGCATGCTCAAGGGCAGGGGCAGCTGAGTGTCAATTGCAAGTCGGGTGGACACCACTGCGGACTGCGGGCGTCTTGGGGATCAGGCGCCCTGCATTCAAGTGCCAGAAGACGCGCCCAGTTCCTGATAGCGAGCCACCCACATCGGCGCCAGCCACTATTATGAGCACCCAGCTGCATCCTGCCGGAGAAATCGTTGATTGCTGAAAGACAGAGCGAATTCAGAGGCAAGGCAGTGGACAATCACCCAGACACAAAACTCCTGGTTTCCAATGGCAGGCGGCAGTGGCGTTTCCGTTCCCGCAAAGAGGTGGCCGATGGCAAGCCTGCGCTCCTCCAAGCATCCCCGCCACGATCACAGATTCCCAGATCACAGCTCCATGGCCTAAAGCAGACACTTTTTGAATTTTGCACACACGGCGCCCAACGAACGCCAAGGCAGGGGCCTCCCAGGCCATGGACGCTAATTAGTTTTTTGTTATAGAAAAGTACAGCGTAGTCGCTCAGCAGTTGCGCTAGAATCAACTTACTGTGATGCAGGAAGGGGTCCAAACCATCTTGAAGTTACCAAAAACAACCGGCAAAACATGACACAGATTTTTTGGGCGCAGGCCAATGTGAACACAAAGGCACGACTAGCAACCTAGTCACGTGATAGCTGGGGGCCTACGAGTGTTGTGCAAAGGCACGCCCTGTGCTTATCCATCACTAAATGTTTCAAAGACATTTGGCGCAATTCGGCCGTGGCCTGGATTGTTTGGTGAGGCGCATACATACAAAATCCTTGAGGCAGCCGTCAACAAGTTGCTGAAATGCACTTGTGGGCGATGCCCACTGGGCGTATGCTCACGAGTGCATTTCAGCAATTTTGTGCATGCACGCGCATGATGCTATGGCTCGAACTCCTGGCATTGAGGATGGGGCCATCTGGCGGGCGTCTGAATTCGGGTTGGCATCAGGGACTTGAGTTGTTGGACTCACGAAGTTGTTTTGGTACTGTCCAAAGTGCGCCATGCCAGCGGGGAGTTGGGAACGGGGAAATGCATAAGTGCACAGGCGTTGGGATCAATGGAGCGAAGGCAAGCGGTCCTGGTCGCGACGCAGCGGCCGCAACGGCAGGGATCAGGGCGTGTGCCAGTTTTGCTCAAATTCTTGAACTACACCTGCCAAACGAAAATTGACAAGACACATCCCTAGCACTTATGGGCGACGTTGGGCTTAATTCCAAGCACATGTTTTGTTTGTGTCTTTAAGACAAAACAAAACATGTGCTTGGGATTATGTTGACAATACAATACTGTACAATAGGGGTCCCTATAGAGAGTGCCCCCTCGGTGGCATGGCCAAAAAGGGGGCGCTGTTGGGGGCCAGGGGTGCTATTGTGTTAAGGGGGGTACCGTAAGCAGCCAGTGTAAAGGGCGCCCTGGCCGCCGGTGTAAGGAGTACCCTAAGCTGCCGGTGTGAGGGGTACCCTGGCTGCCAACATAGGAGTACCCTGGTCGTCAGCGTAGGGGGTGCCATGGCCGGGCAGGTGTAAGGGGTACACTACGCCCGGCCTACCATGCCCATACTGGCTTTTGGTGCCAGCGACTTAGTCGCAGCACCGAAGTTGCAGGCGCTGCGGCCTGTTGCAGAGAGATTAAGTACTAAGGGAACGGTGACAAGCTGTTTCAAGGGGTCGCTACACCTAGACAGCTCGCTAGAAAGGGACCGCTACACGCCCCCCGATTGCTCTTTTCATGCCGAGTGCAGTGAAATTTCAAATTTGTAGGACACAGCGAGAAGTTCACGACATGGTTTAGGGATTTTGAGAGCGTGCGTCAGCGCAGCCTTGTGCTAGCAGTGACACAATGGAATCACGGTCGGTGCCCCAGAAGTCAAATAAATGGTCACCGGGCCACATGTGGCCAGTAGTGGGCAGTGGTGGGTAGATGTACAGCTCTGAATCTGCGGACAAAACTTAGTCCAGAAAATTCTATGATAACAACTTTAAAGTTGTTGGGCCAAATTTGGCACACACTCCAACGGCAACTCCGTCAGGACGCGGGCAGTTGCCACCGCCCGCCGGCTTCTGCCGGCGCGGCCCGGCCGTCCACCCGCGGCGCCCCTGGACGGCAGCGCGGTGTATCCACACACCAGCGGCCGCCGCTCTCACACAAGTACTTGGTACACCCAGTACTCACGCCCATGGGGCGGCCGCCACGCGTCACGGTGCCTCACCTCATCGCTCATGGTAGGTGGGCGGAGCGCCCGGCCGCGGGCGCACAGGCGTTGCGTTGTGCGACCTGCGCTGGGACGCGCCTGACGCATGGTTTGCACCCCGGTCCTTCCCTTGGGTATTTATTTGCCACCAGCCCGGTAGGGCCAGCGACACCCGAGCCTGCGGTGGAGACCGCAGACACCCATGTCTCGGCTCTCTGCCCTCTAGTCGCTCGTTGTTTTCTTGCGCCGGCATTTTCTGCTTCGGGCAGCCCCGTCCTCGAGCTGAAGATCGCGGTCATGGGCCCGGAGGCGAACGCCGATGCCACCAGCACGGATCGCATGACCTCGGGGTCGACATCGGGTTGCGAGGGCGACGGGGGATCATCTTCGGGCTAGAGGAGGTGGCCCCCCGGCTGACGCCCAGCCACTCCAAGATGTACTTCGTGGTGATCTGGTTGGCCTTCGCCTTCTACCTCTACTGGCTGAACCGCAACCACTGCCGCCCTGCCTTCGACGAGGTGCCGGACTTCGACAAGGACGTGGTCCGCGTCGTCGGGTGGCAAATAAAGTGGAAGGCGGCGGTGCTGCTGGGCTTTGGGTTCCTGGGCGGCGTGTTCTCCGCGATAACGGGCAGCGGCATTGACATCTGCTCCTTCTCCGCGCTCACCCTCCTCTTCCGGGTGTCCAAGAAGATCGCCACGCCCATCTTCGTCCTCCTCATGGCCGTAAACACTTGCGTGGGCTGCGCCTACCGCGAGCTCGCCGTGGGCGGCGTGCAGGAGGACGCCTGGGGCTTCTTCGCCGTGTGCGTGCCCATCGTGGTTGTCGGCGCGCCGCGGGGCTCCCTGACCGGCTCCCACTTCCACAGACCGGTCCTGGCGGCCTTTGTGTACGCCACGGACACCGCCCAGCTCATCCTGGCGCTCATCGTCGTCAAGCCCTGGTTGCGCCCGGACGACGGCCGCAAGAAGGACAACGATGGCCCCACCCACCTGACCCTCACCTCCGGCGCCATCCTCGTCGCTAGGGCTGCCTTCTTCAAGCTGATGGAGGCCAGGCGGAGGGCAGGCTATTGGCCAGGAGGAATGTCGATGCCGAGCCGGTGTAACGCGACCTAGGGGTGTTGGGGCGCTGCTTAGAGCGAGATTGGCCGAATTCTTGCCGGGGTAGAGGCCGAAAGGGAGGCAACGTGGGCAAAATGTCTGCGAGTGATGTTTTGGAGCGAGTCAAAATGAATTGATGGGGGGTGTACAGGGGCGGCGCGAACCATTTTCGCAGCAGTTTTTTTCGCGGCCAGTTTGCCATTTGCCATCCGAGATGGATCTGTGTGGGTGGGGCGGGAGGCGCGCTGGCTGCGCGACCACGCACCTGCAGGAACGATGTGACCTTTGCTGAGCATGTCCGCTGTTCAACTCTTGGCGCCCGGAACCCAATAGCTCCACGTTTCTGGCCATGTCACAGGGGGGCGCCATATGGGTTACCTCCGCTGTACCTGGGGCTTGAGACTCAATTGTTGATATTGCCGCTATGTCCAGTTGAGCTAGTAATACTAGGAAACAAGAGAGGATAGTGCTCGAATGGGCAATGGGCGCAACCAATGCAATGCTCATGCAGCACCAACGGCATACGCCCGGTTCAGCTGGACTGCGCTGCTCCCCGTCGAGGGATGGATTTCGAGGCCACGGACCTCCCGTTGGTAGGGTCTCATCACCTCTTTTGTTTTAACGTTGCATGGAATCGGACCAGCAGAGATATGAACTATGGCAGCGCCGACGATGTGTGGGTCGCCCAGTCGCAACTCTCCCAGGCGCGGGCTGTTGCCACCCGCAATTGCAGGGTGAAATTCACTGGGAAGTCCATTAAAGTTGGAACAGCCACTGAAGGTCCAACACGCATCCCATGTGCAGCGGAAAGTCACCGAAAGACTGAGCTGCCGACTGCTGATTAAACTACCCCATCAGGGAAAGCTCAACATCTGCACCATCCGCTCACAACAACCCACTGGCTTCCCTTATCCCCTTTCAAGTCCACCGTTCCAGGGGCCCCGACATCTCGGTCATCTAATAGGATCCTGGAACGAAAAGACAATGAATTAAGTCGAAACAAGGCTCGCGACTTTGTGATCCCCATGCGTCTCAAAACGTCCCCGTCAGTCAGGTGTCCTTCAAACGACAGAAAAAAAAAAAAAAAAAAAAAAAACACGCAGAACCCACATTTGCCATGGTGCCCTGCACCAAAAGGTGCTTTGCAAACCACCCGTCAATTGACAGGGGTCAACCGTCGCGGGCTCACTCCCTTGTCAACTCAACTGCAGCTCCATCTCGATATCGCCGGAGCCATTGCTTTCGGCTTTCGCGTGCCCCACAAAAAGCGGCCTTCGGAAAATCGCCCCCCTCAATCAAAATCGAATGGAATGATCGGAGAAATGCCGCCTTCCCATTGTCTCCCATGTCGCAGCATCAGCAAATCAGTCACTGAGAGCGAGGTGCGGCAGTGGCAAATGCCGCTGTGACCAATCACCAGGCGGGGTCGCAACGCATCAGATG